CTGGGCCGTCATGAACATGCGCACGCTCGTGTATCCCCGCGAGGAGATGCGCAGGAAGGATGGCAAGAAGGCGAAGCGCGACGACTCGGACGCATCATCAGCTACCGAAGCATCATCGCCCGAGTCAGCAGCACCACCTCCCCCCAGCGACCAGCCGTCATCATCCAGCGAGCCTGCTGCTGTTGCTGCTGCTGAAGAAGAAGGCGAAACGCTCGAATCAATCCAGCAAAAAGACGCCTACGCCGACCGCGAAGTCGCCATCCCCGTCGAGAGCCGCGACGGCGAGAAGTGGTCCAACGCATGGAACCGCTTCCAGAAGAGACTCAAGAAGTCGCACCGCTACACCGTCATCTACGGCCACGATTCCAAGCGCGGCCTCCGCGAGGACCGGTACACCTACGGGCTCGACTCCGGCTGCGTCAAGGGCGGTGCGTTGACGGCCATGGTGGTGCAGGCGAAGGAGGAGGAGGGCGGCAACAACAAGGGGGAGTGGACGCACACCCTGGTGCAGGTGCAGTGCGAGAAGGCTGCTTGAAGTTTTGATTGGAAGATGTGGCGGCTAGGCTTGAAAGATATGGGGAGCGTTTTTTTGCTGATTTATTTTCATGGTTTGATTTTGAGTTGAGCGGAACTTGGGAATGTTTTAGATGTGAGATGTTGGGATCGTGTTGATTTGGTATATAACTTGTTGGATGGGATATAGTTGGGATTTCATCTACCTAGACGAGCAGCAGCGCTGGCGAACGTTGCTTCTCCTTTCTTGCATTTTCTGAGTTACGAGGATTAGTTCTACGGCATTAGCCAGTATGGACATCATGTCCCATGGGTGTTGTTTAGGGATCATCACTTCAAAAAATAGGAGTAATATCAAGCCTCCACCAGATATTAATATGACACGATAGGACCAAGACATTCAGGCACACGCTCCATTGGCATTGCATTCGTTTCCATTTTACTTTTGTTTTTTTTTTATATTGCTTTTAGACTGTCGATACGTAAAGCCACTGGTCCTTGACATTTTTAAGAACCCCCCTCTGCAATTTTCAATCAGTTCCAAAGGAAAAAGAAAGCAGTGCAGCTAAACAGAGAGCTCCCCAACTTCTGCGAGAACTGCCGTCCAAATTATAGGCAGATCCCCACAAACTTCCTTTTTTTCCTTCTTAACCAACC